AAGCGCGAAGGGTGACGAGAACGGTAGAAATGGGAACGGGAGCTGAATGGCGACGCTGATGGTGATAGTAATGGTAATGACCCGTTGTATCCCTGCTGTTGCTGCTGCTGCTGCTGCTGCTGCTGCTGCTGCTGCTGTTGTTGCTGCTGTTGCTGCTGTTGTTGCGGCTGTTGCTGCTGTTGTTGCTGTTGTTGCTGCTGTTGTTGCGGCTGTTGCTGCTGCTGCTGTTGCTGCTGTTGCTGTTGTTGCTGCTGATGTTGCTGCTGTTGCTGCTGTTGCTGCTGTTGTTGCTGCTGCTGTTGTTGCGGCTGTTGCTGCGGCTGTTGCTGCGGCAGTTGTTGCGGCTGTTGTTGCTGCTGTTGTTGTTGGTGCTGCTGCTGCCCCTGCTGCTGCTGCTGCCCCTGCTGCCGCCCCTCCTGCTGCCCCTGCTGCCCCTGCTGCTGCTGCCCCTGCTGCTGCGGCGGCTGCTGCTGCTCCTGCCGATGCCTTACAGTCTCTCCCCATCTTGAACCAATGCTCTCAGGGAACGCATAAGCCGGCATATCAGCAGGTTGCTTCCTTGCTGTAAACACCTTAGCAGCAGCAGCAGCAGCATCAGCAGCAGCAGCAGACACTCTTCCTGCTCTTCTAGCCTTTTTGGCTGCCACGTATTTCCGCGCCTGAAGCTCAGTTTCATAGAACAGTCGAACGTACTCAAACCATGCTGGTTCTGGCCCCGGTCCCCATGCTGATTTTTTCCCACTCCACCATCCCCCCCTGGGCCTTCCCCTCACCTTTGCCTTCGCCCCTGTGTTCCCCCCTGACTCGTTATTGGGTTGCTCATCCGCGTTAGTAGACCCTCCCTGCCGCTGCTCAACTGAGCCCCCCCTGCCGGCTGCTCCGCTTCCCCGACGGCATCCCCTCCGCGGGGCACCGCCCCGTCTCCCCCCGCTTCCGCCGCCGCCGCTTCCGCCGCGGGTCGTGCGTCTCCGCGTCGTATCGCGCTTTCATACGCGTCCACTGCTTCGCCATCGCTGTCGGGATGCGCCGCCATTCGGGGTTCGTGAGCCGGATCGCGCGCCACACCTGCCGCCAGTACACGTCCCCCCTGCCGCCGCTCCGTATCGTGACTTTCCCGCTGTGCCGGCAGAAAACGACAGCCGCTGCGAGCTCCATCAGCTCCGCATCGCTCCACTGACTCATCTTCCGCGCCGCGAGCTCCGCCAATTCCTCTCGTTCCTTCTCGCCTTCTTGAAGTTCGTACCAAGGGACCTCGAGACCACCCGGTTGCACCACGCGACCCGGTTCCTCCACAAGACCCGTTTCGGCCTCTGCATCCGTTTCCCTGTTTCGATCCCTTTCCCTGTTTCGATCAGTTTCTCTGTCACGAAACACGTCTACCGTTGAGTCATACGGCCTTCCAAACCGCTCCCTGAGGTGGTACTCTTCGATATCGTACGAGTCGTCCGACTCACCGTCGTTTTCGGCATCGCTTTCGCCATCGTCGTCGCCGTCGCCGAAGTCGTCGCTAAAGTCGTCGCCAAAGTCGTCGCTAAAGTCGTCCTCGTGGCTTCCGTCGTTTTCGTCGGCGTCGCAGCGGGTTAACGCGGCAGCGTGATGCTCCTTAATCCCCCCAACGAACGGAGGATCGGGTCGTGCAATCGTCGCCCAATCGACTTCCGTGCTCGCCTGGCCTGCTGTACCGTTAGCTGGCCTAGACGCCATGGTAGCTCTGGACTGCCAGCCAGCGATGGGAAAGCTGCTCAACCAGGACGCGTTCAGAATTTGTGCAATGCTGGTTCTATACCAGAAAAGACCCTAGGTGTTGTCCGTAAAGGGAAACCCAGTCAGGGGTTCCAGCTAGGAAAGACCCGATCTCCATAGACTGTTCTAGGTCTGTCTTACCTGCGATCACACAAGTCGACAGACCTAGAATCAGGGAAAACGAGTCAGGAAGTTCCAGCTGGACTTAGTCTGTCCTAGTAATGAAGACAGAGTGGCAGAGACACCTTGGGAGTACGCCTTGTTGGCAGGAAGCTCAAAAAGCGCCAGAGAAATGAACGGTTCAGTTCGGTGCTAAGGGTAAGGGGCTGGTACTGTCAGGCGTCCAGGAGTTGGCAGCGTGTCCCGTCCCAAGATTCTCCGAGCACCTCCGGCTGACACGACGACTCTCTTATCGTTCCCGCTTGTCTTGCAACGCTGATACTGTAGCATGGAGTCTGCAGAAATATTAAACAAGGTTAGAAGAAATTATCGACCAGCGTCGACGAAAGACAGACACCACAGGTTGACGATTCGCGATTTCGCAAATCTCTACAGCGGCTCTGGAAACACAGGTGGTGACTGGCGAAGGAACGAATGATAACTACGGAAGCGTAGTTGGTTATGGTGCGGGTTTTTTGTTTTTGGTCATCTGTCTGTTTTCGCTTGTCCCAAAAACGGCTTGTCCCAAATTTTGGTGTCGACCAGTGACAAACCAAACTCATAACTCATACTCGCCGAACAGGACCCGGCCTAAACATGCTCATACTCGACCGTTCACATTAATGCTCGATTGTGACTGTGACTTGTTCCTTACAGGAATGCAACCCCTTTTTTTCCTTCTTAACACGTTGCTACACTCGGGACATACATCAGCCAGCCAGAGATTCAAATAAGATGCCGAAATGCGATCCACAGATGCCTCTGGTTTTCCGGGAAAAATAACAGTATGGATCTTACGATAAGGCTGCTATGGTGAAGAAGGCACTTGTCATCAGAAGGAACATAGTGAGCATATGAGGTCAAAACATTTTCAATCTGTAATTAGAAAGACCTCGATAAGGCTCAAATAGAGGATACCCCGTCCTTTATCAACTACGGCAATCGGACAAGAGACATGTTGGAGCCTTTGGCCGTTTCCCTAGGAATCTGAAGGCGGTTCGTGCGAAGCCTTTCGCCAAGGAGTCCTGACCTGGGTAGCCTGAAGCCAAGCCTATGTTCTCTGAGACCAAACCAGCATACCACACCTGCCCCCAGCCACCGCTTTCCGAGCACGATGGCACCATTACAGGAGAAAACGTGCATATTTTTGCATAATTCCTCGTCTTCCGTCAGATCTTGTTGACGAATTACGCAACCGAGTTCTTTCGCGAGATAATGTTTTTTCGCAACACTGCCCGAGTAACGTGAGCAGAGGATGTTTTCATGTGGCGGCTTTTCCCCCTCGGCCTGAGAATACACCTGCTTCCCCGAGCCGGCTCCGTGGCAGGGATTTTGGCTCGGAACCTCCCTTGATATCATCCTTTGGACTCCCTGCGTTTGGTTTGGAGACACTTGGGGTTGCCTTCCGCTGCTCCCCACCCCACCCCACCTTCTATGCGCCATGTGACCTAGTCCCTAGGTTGGAGATAAAGCCGTGGAGTTTAGGAACAACATGGGATGGGATCTACTCCTACCACAATGTACTAGGTCGTATCGTATGGCTTCTGTGTAAGTCTCGCGTGACTTTTTGTAAGCCCTCACTTTGACGGCATGTTAGGAAGCAAATGGAGATTTTCGACGAAGTTTAGAATGTGTTTGGATATTCCCGGCAAGTTTGTAGCTCGGCACACGCGTTGCAGCTGTCCCGCTTTATGCGTTTTCGGAACTACGGAGTTACACGTTTCAGTCAAGACAGCTTCGCTAGTGGCAGCTGATGACACCTACGCCTATACCGTTCTTCCCTGTCACTTGCATTTTTGGATATGCGAGCACACCAATTATCTATTAGTCTCTTCGTTTCCTTAGTAACCTAGGGTTTCATTCACCCCCTACGCGGCTTGACGTTCACTAGCTAATTCCGTCCGCATTTCGAAACCAACGACGATGTCGAAGCGGATGGACCCGCGCAGGCAGAGTGTCGGCAGCGGCACCGATCTCCGCCGTTCCAGATCCATCGGAGTATCCTCCCAATCAATGGACTTCAAAACCTTCAATCCCGCCGCTCCCGCCACGCGCCAGCAACCCGCGCCCCCGCACGGCCGCTTAAACCGGTCCGTCAGTCAGAAATCTGCCGGTGACGTGACGTTAACGGCGGAGGAGTTGGCTGAGATGGAGCAGGAAATGGTTAAGTCCAAGACAAAGGTCATGGCGTGGTTTACGAAATCGGAGTCGGAAGGTTCGCCAATTAACGCTCCCCCGCCCGCCGCCTCCCCTTTCGAGGAAGTCGGCGGACTTGAAATTCCGCATATGGGGAAAAAAGGGCTTCCGCCGAGGCGGGGGGACGCGCACGGTCCGCCTCTGCATGGGAAGCCACCCGCGCCGCAGGATTTGCGGAAATGCGCGACGCGGGTGTTTTCGTCGCAGCACGTGCCGGAGTGGGTCGGCAGAGGGGACAGCGCGTTTAAGCGGTCGCAATCGTGCCGCGAAATGGGTCAATCAGGAAGCGTTCTTAGATCGCGTTCGATGGAGGGCCCTGGAGTGATGTACAGACCGTCAGGAGCAGGAGGAGCAGGGGGAGCAGGAGGGGCATTAGGAACAGGTTCTCCCTACGACTCTGTAGGGAGGAGGCCAGGAAAGCCAGGTGGACCGGGTGGGAATAAAGACCTGGCGAAGGTTCTATCGCGGACGGAGCAAGCGGCGGAAAAGGTAAGATGCTGCTTAGCCGGCCGCCGGACCGCCGGTTGACGCGGTCACTAAGCGCGATGAAAAAGAACGACCGGGTTAACCTGGGTGGGGGGGGGATGGGGCCGGTCGGGGGGGGTGGGGGGAAATTACAGCCCCGGGCACGCGGGCGCGTATGGGTACGCGGGGGAGGGCAGCAGCGGAGGCGGGGGAGGAGGCGGGCGGGGGAGCATGGGCGGAATGGCTGCTGGCCCGCGGGGGGACCTGCACTTGCGCAGGGCGTTTTCGGAAGATAGGCGCGCGCTTAATTCCGCGCCTATGCCCGCTAGGGGCAGCTTTGCGCCGCCTGGTGGAGGTGTGGGCGCGCGGAGGGGGGGAGGATCCGCGGCAGCGAATCCTTCCCTCCCGCGGGCTGGGGCAGTCGGGGGACAACAGCCCTAGCCGCTCCCCCGCGCGACCGCTCGGGGGGGCCGCCACGTCAGCGCCGCGTCAGCATTATAGAGACGAAGACGGGCGGGGGAGTCAGGGGTATGATGACCATAGCCGTAGCCCATCCCCCGATAGAAGGGGGAGGGGAGGGGGGAGAGGAGGTGGAAAGGGGGGAAGCAGCAGGCTGAGAAGGAATGGGTATGATGAGGTTGAGAGGGGTAGAGGAGGGTATGATGATGATTCGAGATCTGAGTCTTCTTATGAGGACTACGATGGGGACAGGAGGAGGAGAGATGATGAGTATGATGGGGACAGGAGGAGGAGGGTGTGATGATGATGATGCAGGCAGGAGGAGGAGAGATGATGAGTATGATGCTGGTGGGAGGGGGAAGGATGGTGGTGATGATGGGGGCAGAAGGAGGAGAGGTGATGAGTATGACGATAGGAGGAGGGATGATGATTATGATGGTAGGAGGAGGAGGGGGGATGATGACGATGGGTACGACCCGAGGGGGCTGGGCGGGATAGGGAGAGAGATGGGGGAAGAGTTGGGGAGAGGGAGAGGGAGAGGGAAGGGGAGAAGGAGTGGGACAGGGGGGAGGGCAGATACGAAAAGGCGGATGGGGAGGAGGAATGGCGGTTGCGAGATGATTGGGAGAGAGGGAACGGGGAAGAGGGGATGGAGGTAGGGGAAATGGAGGAAGTGGGGTTGTGAGAAGAGGGGATGGGGGAAGAGGGGATGGGGGAAGAGGGGATGGGGGGAGAGAGGATGAGGGAAGGGGTTTTGGGGGGAGAGGGGACGGGGTTAGGGGTTCGGGGGGAGGGAGTGGAAGGGAGAGGAGGGAGGAGTGGAGGGAGAAAGGGCGAGGAGGGGAAAGGGAGGAGGGCAGAGGAGAGGGGAGGGCTGGTGGGGGTGGGGAAGGGTACAATAGCGAGGGGAGTGGAGAGAGGGAGAGTGACTATGTTGAGAGAGGCAATGTGGAGGGTGATTATAAAGCGGGAATTGGGCCGTGATAGGCATGGGGGTGGTGGATATGATGATGGGTATGGGGAGGAGGAGCATAAGTATGTAGAGGATGGAGTGAGGGAGATGGGGAGAGGTGGAGAGGAGATGGGTATGGAGGGAGTGAGGGAGGAGGAGCAGGAGGACGAAGCAGAAGAGGAGGATGAAGGGCAGGGCGCATACGAGGTTGACCCACCGGGGAGGGGAGGTTATGGTTACGGACGTGGCGAAGATTCTGGTTACCACAATGACGTCACTGCTGAGCTGGCACAAGATCCTCATGCGCATCCTGATGACGTGGCAGCCGGCCACCAGGGGCATTATAACGAAGAGAATTATGGTGATGGTGGTGCTTATGGTGGTGGTGGTTATCCTGGGGAGCATGGGGGTGTTGATGGGGCATATGATGGGGATGTTTATGGTGAGGATGGGCATGGGCATGCCAATCATGCAATTCACAGTAGACAGAGTAACGAGGATGCTTATATAGGTGCTCAGGATGGTTACCACCAAGAAGGTAACCACCACGATGGTTACCCGCAGGACGGTTACCAAGAAGACAGTCACCAGCGGGACGGTTACCACCAAGATGCTTATGCTGCTGCTGAGGATAATTATGATGATGATATAGGTGGTTACCACCATAGTAGCCACAACACCACCCCATCAAGACACACTTCCGCAGCCCATCCTTCTCAATACTCCTCCTCTCCCCACCACCGGTCTGCTAGCTACTCCCCTCAACAACCACCTACAGGTTATCCCCATCAGAGCTCTCCTGGAGTGTCCTCCCCACAGCAGTCGTCTCACCAATCCTTCCACCAGTCCACACCCTCGCCCTCCCAACAGAGGCAGCAGCAGCTGGGAATGGCTTGGTCACCTTCGACTCAAGGCCAGAATCTGAGATCCCCCTCGCAGCACCCGCAGCGTGTGTGCTCCTCCCCCAAACATCCCTCCCAGCTCTCACCTTCAAACGACTACCATCAGCAGCAGCAGCACCACCACCAACACCATCAGGAGCAGCAGCAGCACCATCAGCAGCAGAAAATGCTGCCACAGCAGCAACAGGGCAAAATCTATTCCCCACACACGCAGCACCACAATCAGCACCATCAGCAACAGCATCAGCAGCAACAGCAGCATCCGCAGCATAGCAGGCAGCATACCCATCCCTCTGCCCCAGGCCACACAAGAACCGCCTCCTACAGCAGTGGTGGCCCTGCTGCGGCTGGCTCTCCTGGGTTAGGAGGAGTTGTGAGTGGTGCAGGTGGTAATTGTGCCGGTTCTGGAGGAGGAGGGGCTATGCCAGGTAGATCCTCTTCATCTGCCACTGGGCGCACTCCGATTGGCCACACCCGATCTAACTCCCAGAGCCTACCAATGACAAGAGGACACGTGTCACCTGGGGGAAGAGGCGGGGATGCGGCAGGGGCGGCAATGGTGGTGACGCCGCCGCCCGGCACGTCGCCAGCTGGGCGGTCCAGGTGGCGCAATATCATTGGCCGGCCGCTGGAGAGCCTTGCCGCCCGGTTTGAGCTGACAGGGGAGGTGCTGGGGAAGGGGTATTTCGGAGACGTGGTGGTGTGTGTGGAGAGGGACAGTGGGGAGCATTTCGCGTGTAAAGTCATCAACAAGGCGAATGTGAAGGTGAGCACTGGAGGATTGGCTGCGGTGCAGTGGGGTGCGGTGTGGTGCAGTGCTGTGCTATGGCGTTGGGGGATGCGGTGGTGTGCGTGGAAAGAGAGAGCGGGGAGCAATTCGTGTGCAAAGTGATTGGCAAAGGAATGTGAAGCTATGTAATGGACGGTGGGGTGCGGTGGGGTGCGGTGTGGTGCGGAGGATGCAGAGGACGTGCAGAACAAGGTGGCAGCTGCACCGTTTGTGTGTCTGTGTGTTGAATAAGAAAGCACTGCACTGCCCCTTGTTTCCCTTGTGTGCTCTCCAACCAGACCCTTCCTCACCCTCCCCCTCCCCTGATGCAGAGGACGTGCAGAACGAGGTGGCAGCTGGAGGCGCTGAGAGAGCCACTTTCCCTGGCTGGTCTGGTTTGTTGTACCATCATCATGTATTGCCCCTTGCCCGCTTTTCCCCTTCCCCCTCCTCCCCTCTAACTCCTCCCTGCCAGACCCCTGAGGATGCAGAGGACGTGCAGAGCGAGATGCTGGCTCTGGAGGCGCTGATAGAGCCACTTTCCCTGGCTGGTCTGGTTTGTTGTACCATCATGCACTGCCCCTTGCCCGCCTTTCTTTCCCCCTCTAACACCCCCGCGCCAGACCCCTGAGGGCGCACAGGAGGCGCAGAGCAGAACGAGGTGTATTTTGAGGCGCCTCAAAATTCCCCGAGGGCGCACAGGAGGCGCAGAGCAGAACGAGGTGGCAGCTGGAGGCACTGAGAGGGCACTCTGATTGGCTAATCTGGTTCGTTGTACCAGCATGCGCTGCCCCTTGCCTTTTGAGACGTCTCAAAAGCATGCGCTGCCCCTTGCGTGCCTTTCCCCATCAACATCCACACACCAGACTCCAGAGGATGCAGAGGACGTGCAGAGCGAGGTGGCAGCGCTGGAGGCACTGAGAGGGTGGTTTGGTTTGTTGCACAGTCATACTTGGCCCCTTGCGTGCCTTTCCTCCATCTGCATCACCCCCATGCCCAGACTCCAGAGGACGCAGAGGACGTGCAGAACGAGGTGGCAGCGCTGGAGGCACTGAGAGGGCACCGGCACATCGTTCAGCTCATAGAGACGATGGAGGAGCCAGAGGTGGGTGGGTGGGTGGGTCTGCTTATAACGAGTATGACAAGGAGTGTGCGTGGAAAACTGGGCCCTGGAGGCGCTGAGAGGGCACCGGCACATTGTGCAGCTCATAGAGACGGTGGAGGAGCCAGAGGTAAGTGAGGTTGCTTGTAACGAGTACATTAGTGTGTGCTTGGGAAGTTTGGGCTTTGGAGGCGCTGAGGGGCCACTGGCACATCGTCCAGCTCATAGAGACGGCGGAGGAGAGGAGCCAGAGGTTAGTGAGTCTGCTTGTAACGAGTATGACAATGCTGTGTGCTTATAACGAGTGTGTGACTGTGTGCTGGGAGGAAGGTTGGGCGCTGGAGGCATTGAGAGGGCACCGGCACATCGTGCAGCTGATAGTGACAGTGGAGGAGCCAGAGGTAAGTGAGGTTGCTTGTAACGAGTATAATACTGCTGTGTGTAGACTGGGTGAAAGCGCTGAGGGGCTACCGGCACATCGTGCAGCTGATAGTGACAGTGGAGGAGCCAGAGGTCCAGAGGTGCGTGGGTCTGCTTGTAACGAGTATGACAATGCTGTGTGCTGGGAGCGGTGGGTTCTAGAGGGGCTACCTGCAGCATCGTGCAGCTGATAGTGACAGTGGAGGAGCCGGCAACAGAGGCGCTGCTGCAGTGCCATGCCAGTCCAATGGCGTCATACACCGCGACGTGAAGCTCCATGTGAAGCCCGATAGTTGTGCGTTTGCTCGTATTTTTGAGAATTCTAAAAAAGAAGCCCGATAGTTGCGCGTTTGCTCGTATTTTTTAGAATTCTCAAAAAGTAGCCCGATAGTTGCGCGTTTGCTCGTATTTTGGGGCAGCAGCGGCAGCGGCGCTGCTGCAGTGCCACTCCAACGGCACCATTCACCACGACGTGAAACCCGATAACATCCTGCTCAGTCACCATTCAACCCTGAATTAGGTCCTCCCATCCCCTCCCCCCAACAATTCAGACGGTCTATCTGGTGATGGAGCTGTGTCAGGGGGGCACACTGCAGCAAGCAGTCAGGGAGCAAGGGCCGTTCAACGAGCCGCAGGCAGCAGCGGTGGTGGCGGCAGCAGCAGAGGCGCTGCTGCAGTGCCACTCCAACGGAATCATTCACCGCGACGTGAAGCCCGATAATATCCTGCTCGGGGAGCGTTTGGACGTTTCTGGGGAGGCTTACCTGGGGACGTGAAGATCTGTGATTTTGGCATCTCCACCTTCTTCCAGCCAGGTGCGTTGGGTTCTGGAGAGGAAGGAAGGCCTATTCAGGGGAGGTACACCTGGGGTGGTAGAAATTTGGCGTGCCTGGGGACGTGAAGATCTGCGATTTTGGCATCTCCACCTTCTTCCAGCCAGGTGCGCTGGGATGTTTAGAGCCAACCGTGTTGCCTCTGGTTAGATAGAAGGTGTATTAAGGGGAGGTAGACCTGGGGTGTGTGGGGGGACGTGAAGATCTGTAAAATTGGCATCTCAACCTTCTTTCTACCAGGTGGCTTTGGTTGTTGATTGAGAGAGTCAACCTTGTTACCTCCCTGGTAAAAGAGATGATCGTGTTGCACCTCCCATGTTGACATGACTTTTAAGAATTCTCAAAAGTCACGTCAACATACCAGGTGGGTTGGGTTGTTTATTGAGAGAGTCAACCTTGTTACCTCCTGGTAAAAGAGATGATCGTGCTGCACCTCCCGCTCTCAGGCTACCTCCCTGTGCATCCCTTTGCACCGCTATGCACCTCTGACTACAGGCACGAGCTGCACTGAGATTCTGGGAACGGCCTCCTTCCTTCTTTCCTCTCTCTCCCTGCCGCAAATCGCCCCACTGCACTCCTTTGCACCCCTCTGCACCCATTATCAACCCAACACAGGAACAACATGCAGTGAGATTGTGGGAACGGTCTCTTTCCTCTCCCCTGAAATGCTCGCCCAGACCTACTCCTGCCCCACCGATATCTGGACCCTGGGCGTGCTGCTGCACCTGCTGCTCTCGGGATTCCTCCCTTTACACCCCTTTACACCCCTTTGCACCCCTTTGCACCGCTCTCCAGCCTCCAGGCACGAGCTGCTCTGAGATAGTGGGAACGGCCTCTTTCCTCTCTCCGGAAATGCTCGCCCAAACCTACTCCTGCCCCACCGATGTCTGGAGCCTGGGCGTGCTGCTGCACCTCCTGCTCTGCTGCTCTCAGGATGCCCCCCTTTCCACCCCGTTGCACCCCTTTTCACCCCTTTGAATTCCTTATTCCAGGCACGAGCTGCTCTGAGATCGTAGGAACGGCCTCGTTCCTCTCTCCGGAAATGCTCGCCCAGACCTACTCCTGCCCCACCGATATCTGGAGCCTGGGCGTGCTGCTGCACCTGCTGCTCTCGGGATTCCTCCCCTTCTGCGCGCCCACCAAAGAGGCCGACTTCGAGGCAATTCCTCCCTTTTGCACCCCTTTTCACCCCTTCGTGTTGCACCGCTTTGCACCGCTTTGAACCCCAAACTTCAGGAACAACATGCAGTGAGATAGTGGGAACGGCCTCTTTCCTCTCCCCTGAAATGCTCGCTCAAACCTACTCTTCTCCGACTGACATTTGGAGTCTCGGAGTCTTGCTGCACCTGCTGCTCTCGGGATTCCTCCCCTTCCGCGCTCCCACCAAAGAGGCCGTTTTTGAAGCGATTCTGGACGGCAGAGTAGATTTCCGGGCAGCGCCGTGGCCGATCGTGTCGCTATCTGCCAAGGACTTGGTGTCGAGGATGCTGACCGTTGATCCGGATGAGAGAATAACAGCAGAGGAGATTCTCAGTGAGTGGGGGTTGGGGGATGGAGGGGTTGGGCTAGGCGGAAAGTTAGGGGGGTAGTTTTTGGTCGCTGCTGCCAAGTGCTATCTGCCAAGGACTTGGTGTCTCGGATGCTGACAGTGGATCTGGATGAGCGAATCACAGCAGAGGAGATTCTCAGTGAGTTGGGGGGGGGGGAGGTTGGAAGTGGGGGGACGAGGGGGAGTTGTGATGGGGGTATGGGATGGATGTTGCTAGCTAACTAGCTGCTAAGAATTTGGCGTCTAGGATGCTGACCGCTGACCCCGATGAGCGGATCACAACAGAGGAGGTTCTCTGTGAGCGGGGGGGAAGGAGGAGGAAGGGGTGCTGGGCGTGTGGAGGAATGGCATGGCATGACGGCACTTGCTGTTCCGTTTTTTCCTCATCAGCTTTATAGGCGCCTCAAAAGAAGGCACTTGCTGTTCCATATTCCTGATCACCAAAGTTGACACTCTTTTGCCACTCCCCCTCCTCTGCTCTGCCCCCTAAGTCCATTGCTCTAGGTCACCCTTGTATACTTGACCCGTGAAGACCAACAGATGTGGTGTGGAATGGCATTGTATAACAGGCTATGGCTTCCTGATTGGAAAAGCTAACAACACTCTCTGCCTCGCCCCCTCCTCTGCCCTGCCCCCCTACCATCCACTTGCTCTAGGTCACCCGTGGATACTTGACCCGTGAAGACCAACAGATGTGGAATGGCATGGAAACTTAAAAATAAACATCACTGATGGAAAGGCCAGGCATGAAAACCCTGCATGGATGGGAGTTGTTTGATTGACAAAATTAACATCGAGTTGTTGAACGAACACTACTCTGTATTATACGTTACATGTTACAAAACCATTGTTGTGTATGTGTGTTACGAGTGCAATTGAGTGAACAAACGAGAATTGCACTATCGAAGCAAGAATACAATTGAGCGAAGGCATGAGCGAACATTATATAGCGAAACTATAGTGGTAACGGTAATGGTCGCGCGACGAGCCTGGGACTGAGGTTTGGAAAGTGTCGAAGCGTAGGCCCGGAGCGCGGGTTACCAGCCGAGCCGTGAGGTCGGGATGCGATGTGCGAAAAGGGCGGGATGATGAATGACGCGATGGTCGCGAGTGGTAACGGTGCTGACTGAGGAGCTACAGTGATGTACGCGTTGAGCAGGGACGCGAAGTAAGGAAAAGGGAATTTCCTTACACTACCCCCCCCTCCTAAGGAGGTCCTCCTTATGAAAGCGCGTGGATGTCTCGGAAATTGCGGCTACGTAGGTAGTCGGTGACGACGGGGTGATTTTCAACTTTCTCCAGGGGAACCCAATTGTCCTCGGTGGGGGTACGATCTTTCCAGCGGATCAGAAACTCTACTTTGCGGGCTCCTCGAGGGTCGCGAACTCTTTGGCTCAGGATCTTGTCGGGGGTGATGACTGGTTCGGTTGGTGGTCGTGTCATGCTGGTGGGTCGATGTCGTGGGAGTTGGCTGGTGGATGGCACGTAAGGGCGAAGTAAGCTAACGTGGAACGAGGGGCTGACGTACCAGTCAGCAGGGAGGAGGAGGTGCGCGGTGACTGGCGTAACCATGTGACTGATTCGAAATGGCCCACAGTATCGAGGGCGGAGTTTTGGAGTGATGGGCAGGCGGAGGTTCTGAGTGTCGAGTAAAACGAGGTCGTCGGGCTGAAAAATAATGGGTCTACGATGGCGATCGGCGTTGCGTTTAGCGATGATGTTTGATTTTTTTATTGCTTCTGCTGCCCTGGTCCGTGCTGCTTGCAGAATCTCGGCGAACTGTTGTGCTCGTGGGACGGGGTTGTCGAGATTCGGTGTCATGGGTACTGTTGGGTCCTATCCGTAATTCAAGTAAAACGGCGACTGTTGCGTCGTGGCTGATGGTGCGTTATTGTATGCGAACTCGATGAGTGGCAGCTGCTGTTCCCACGTATTCGGATCGTCGCACGTGGCTCGAATCAGCTGCTCCATGGTCTGATTTGTCCGTTCCGTCTGTCCGTCGGTTTCGGGGTGATAGGATGAACTGAACTGTAAGCGCGTGCCAAACTGCTGCCACAGGTTCCGCCAGAAGTTGCTTGTAAATTTCGTGTCCCTGTCGCTGATGATCAATGCGGGTATCCCGTGCAGTCGAACGACGGTGGTGATGAAGAGTCGGGCGGTTTCCTCGGCTGTGATTGATTTTCTGCATGCTGCGAAATGAGCCATCTTCGTTAGTCGATCGACGACGACCAGGATCGCGTCATTCCCACTCGCCCCAGCTGGTAACCCCGTGACGAAATCCATCGTCACCTGCTGCCAAGCACGCTCTGGGGGCGGGATGGGTTGTAATTGTCCCGCCGGCCGCTTCCTGCTTGACTTCATGAGCTGGCAAGTGGGGCACGATGCCACGTGTCGTTGCACATCGGTCAACATTTCTGGCCAGTAGTAGTACCGCTGCAGCTGCTGCCGTGTTTTTTCTACCCCGAAATGTCCCGAGGTAACTCCGTCGTGTGCTTCCTGTAACAGTAGTTCCCGCAGTAGCGTGTATCCTGGTACCCAGATGCGGTCGGTTCCAGCTTTTACGTAATAGACTCCTTTTGCCGCTGCGAATTGCTGTGAGTTGCCTCCTGTAAAGAACGGGTCTGTTTGATATCCGTGGGTAAATAGGCCTGTCAGTAGCGGGCTGGTCTGGGCGAGTAGTATCGCGTGGATCTGGGCAGTGGGGCGGGTCAGTGCGTCGGCGATATTCGAGGCTCCTTTTTTGTATGTGACTGTATAGTGAAAATTCGACTCGAGGAAATCGAGCCATCGAATCTGTCGTGGGTTGAGGTGGGGCTGTGCGCGGAGATACTGTAGAGATCGATGGTCTGTCCATACTGTCACGTCTGCGCCGGTCAAGTAGCAGCGCCATACTTTGAACGCGTGCACGATCGCAAGCATTTCGCGGTCGTGTATCGGGTAATTTCGCTCAGGCGGATGTAGTTTGCGTGATTCGTAGGCGATGGGTTGGAGGCCGTCGCCGAAGTCCTCTAACAGTACAGCTCCGATGGCGATGTCACTTGCGTCGGTAACCACTTCGAAAGGGCGGTGGGGATCAGCGATGCGTAGAACGGGTGGTGAACAGAGAACGTTTTTCAGGGCAGAGAAGGCAGCATGCTCTTTCTCCCCCCACGTAAAAGCGACCCCCTTACGCAGTAAATCAGTGAGTGGGGCTGTTAAACGTGCCATGTCGGGCACGAACCGTCGAACGTAATTAACAAAACCTAAAAAACTTTGCAGTTCCGTGATGTTCGTCGGGGGGCGCCACGCTTTTACCGTATCCAGCTTCTTTGGGTCAATCTCAACCCCAGCCTCCGAAATGACGTGACCCAAAAACTCTAGCCTGTCCCGAAAAAACTCGCACTTGGAACCCTTGGTGAGTAGTCGATGTTCCTCCAAAATTTTAAAAACTGCTTCAAGATCCACTAAGTGCTGCTGCTTATCCCGGCTGTAAACTAGAATATCGTCCAGGTAAACTATCACGCATTTATCTAAAAGTGGTCTAAACGCCTCGTTCATGGTCATCTAAAATGTCGCGGGCGCGTTCGTCAGCCCGAATGGCATTACTGTATACTCGAATGACCCGTACCTAGTCCTAAATGCTGTTTTGGCGCAGTCCGATGGTTCGACCCGAATCTGAGGGTAACCTCCCCGTAAATCTATTTTCGAAAAGACTCGTGCTGTTCGCAGTTGGTCGATCGGTTCGTCGGCGCGGGGGATGGGGTATCGCGATTTGACTGTTACCCTGTTAAGCGCTCGGTAGTCGATGCACATGCGGAACCCTCCGTCTTTTTTCGGTGTGAACAGTATCGGTGCGGCGAACGGTGACGAACTCGGACGGATAAACTGCTTCTCTAACAGGTAATCTAACTGCTTCCTTAACTCGTCGAGCTCGGGCTGTGTCAGTCGAAATTGCCGCTGTACAGTTGGCTGTGCCCCGGTTCTAACTCGATCCTATGGTCGTGCGCCCGCTGAGGTGGCAGTCCCTGTGGTAAATCATCCGGAAATATCCCCGGGAACTGTTTCAGTAGTGCCTGTAGTTCGGTCGGTACAGTTGCCAGCAGTTTCTCCAAATCACTCGGCTGCTCATCTTTGTCTACGAGTGCAATATCCACTGCGTACACGTCAGCTCCAGCAGCGACAGCCCGTTGTGAGAATAAGCGAACAGGAATGAAATGACTAAGTCAGAGTTGGGTACAAATACAACCCTAGAAAGCTGTACCCCATATGTGCTACCCCACTATAGCCTACAAACATGCATCAGCTATGATAATCTGACACACCCCCATAGGCAAAGTGGGGGAGAACAAGGGGTCACAAGACCAGTCAAGCAAAGCAAAGCAAAGCAAGCTCAGGGTGGATCACAAAGTCACCACACAGTCCGAGCACAAGAGTAGGGCTAGAGGCCAGTTCACATGCAGGAGTACAGACATATATATAAAACTAGCCAAGCAAGAGCATGTATATATATATATGTCACAGTACAAGTGAAGTCAAGAGGAGAGCAAGTGAGGCAAGACAGGCACAAGACCCAGCTGGGTGCAAAAGCGCTAATGGTCACAAGGCGCGAGTGCCTTGGTGAACACATCAGCAGTGTTGGCCTCAGAGGCCACGTACGCAAGTCGCAACTGACCACGCTGCTGCAGCTCACGAGCAAGGATGTAGCGGAGAGCAATGTGCTTCGTTCTGTGCTCCAGACGCTGCTCTCGACACAAGGCCAGCATGGCCTTGTTGTCTACGTACAGCACTGGAGGAGAACGAGGCGGCTCTCCAAGGTCAGTGAGCAGGTAGGTGAGCCAGCGAAGCTCCTGTGCAGCCATGGCCCCGGCGTAGATCTCAGCCTCACAACTGGAGCCGAGAACCAAAGACGAGCGAGTAGACCGCCACGAGACAGAGCCGGAACCAAGGGTGAAGGTGTAACCCTGTGACGACCGCTGCGTAGCCTGGTCGTCAGCCCAAGAAGCGTCCGCGTGGCCGGTAAGGACCACTGGACTCCGCCCTCCAAGCACTAGCCCCATGCCCGACGTACTGCACAGGTAGCGCAATACCCTCTTCGCTGCAGCCATGTGCTCTGGTCTGTGTCTCCCAGGAGCAACATAGCATGCAAGAATGCTCAGAGGGTATGCAAGGTCAGGTCGTGTGCAGGTCATCAGGTACATGAGGCAGCTAACAAGCTCTGCACACGGACCACTCGACTCTACGGACTCATCCGAAGGCAGAGCTGAGAGTGAGTGGCGAGTAGGCAGAGGAGTGGCCTGAGGCGAGGAGTACGTGAAGCCGAAGCGCTGAAGGACCTGCTGCACCATGTGTGACTGAGTCAAGGTAATGGTGCGGCGTGCTCTGTCCCGGGTGATCTGCAAGCCAAGGTAGCTGCGCAGTTCACCCAGGTCTGTGCACGTGTGTCTCTTCAGCAGCTCGGACTTCACGTAGGCGAGTCCAGCAGTGTCCGCTGTGGCAAAGACCAAGTCGTCGACGTACACGAGGATGTAGAACAGCGGCAGGGAAGTGTCGGTGCGAAGAAACAGCGACGGGTCAGCAGTAGAGGGAGCAAACCCAAGAGCCGCAAGCGTAGTCCTCAGTGTGTCGTGCCACTCACGCGGTGCCTGGCGGAGACCGTAGACTGGCCGTCGGAGGCTCCACTGGGTGCCAGGAGGGAAAGTCCCAGTGAAGCCAGGTGGACGGCGAAGCCAGATCTCCTCGTGCAGGCTACCTTGCAAGAACGCAGTGCTGAAGTCGAGAGAGTGAAGCTCGTAGTCGCGCTGAGCGGCTATGTGCAGCAGCACCCGAAGAGTAGTCATCTTCGGGGTGGGAGAGAAGGTCTGAAAGTAGTCAACTCCCTGCCGCTGACTGAAGCCACGAGCAACGTACCGTGCCTTGAAGACAGATGGAGAGCCCGGCGGCCGCTTCACCCTGAAGATCCACATGCCACTGAGGATTTTCGCCCCAGGAGGGGGAACCGCGTCAACGTAGGTGCCTGTGGACTTCCAGGAAGCCATCTCTGCATCCATAGCTGCCTGCCACTGAGACGAGTAGGGACCCTCTACGGCCTCCCTCAGGGGCAAGCAGTACAGACGCGAGATGAGGTGAAGCAGCCGCCAGACTCTGGAACTCCTCCTGCCTGTCCTCTAGGACGTCTGTGCCAAGAGCACACTCACCCCCGACGGACGGAGGACAGACAGCTGCAGACTCAGCAACAAGACTAGCAGCGTAGTCGAGACGACAGCGAGCAGCAAAGTCGACGAGCTCAGCGACTAGAGCAGACGCAGCAGTGGACTCAAAAGAGGGGTCAGTGACGACAGTAGCAAGCAGACGCGTGACAGTAGGACTGGCAGCACGAAGAGAGTCCGAATCAGGGTCGGCAAGCGCAGGAAGAGAGGACTCAGGAGGAGAAGGCAAAGGGGCACGCAGAGGAGCAGTTGACGGACGCAAAGACATCCGGTGCGTGCCAGGGACAGGAGGAGGACGCTGACGCAAATTGCGACCAGCGCGAGCAGCACGAACAGGCGACGCGGGACGAGACGCAGGCTCACGACGCTCAGCAAGACCTCCAGTAGGACCAGTGTAAGGAGAGGGAGCAGGCAGTGAAGAGGAAGGCTCCAGCAGGGACTGCGACTGGACAGGCGGTGGACCCTCTACTAGAGGAGAAAGACCAAGAACCTGCTGTAGGAGCGGAACGAAGTACGGCCGAGGCCGCGCGGCAGCTCTAGACTCAGCAGGGACAGCACCAGCACCCTCAGCGACAGCACCAGCGCCACCCACACCACCAGCGGCAAGACCAACAGCAGTAGGCTCAGCACCAACGCCCTCAGCAGCTCCGGCTCTAGGAGGACCCGCAGGTCCAGCAGCTCCGGGACCGGCAGCACCCGCACCCTAGACGGTCGAAGAAGCTCCAGCTCCAGCTCCAGCAGCACCTCCAGACTCAGCAGCACGCCTCCAGCGGCGAGCGAACCACTCGCGCAGCTCCTGTGGAGAGAGGGGCTCCCGGCGAGACGCAGCAGCAGGAGAAACCCCAGGCTCAGCAGCTCCAAACACAGCACCCCCAGGCTCAGCAGCTCCCAGCTCAGCATCCCCAGGCTCAGCAACTCCCGACCCAGCACCCCCAGACCCAGCACCTCCAAGCACAGCACCCCCCAGCTCAGCATCCCAAGGCTCCGCACCCTCCGCAGTAGCACCCTCAGGCTCAGCACCCCCAGCAGTAGCACCCCCAGGCTCAGCACCCCCGCGCACAGCACCCCCAGAGTCAGCACCCCCAGGCTCAGCACCCGCAGCAGCACCAGAGTCACCAGTAACCTCGACCGGGTCAACGGCGTCTACCTGGGACACACCTGAGGGGGCAGGAACCTGAGGGGGAGGGGGTCTACCGGGGGGGGAACCGGCACAAGGAAGTCCGGGGGAGGGGGGAGGGAAGGAGTGCGGTAGGGGAAGAGACGGTAGAAGGGGACTAACTTGTCGAACGTGACGTCCTGGGAGGACAGAACACGACGAGAGGAGGGGTGGTAAAACTGCCACCCTGGGGCGTCAGTGGGGAAGCCAAGGAAGACACAGGGAGCAGCACGAGGGGACAGCTTGTCCGCGACATGTCGCGGACAAACGCTCGAGATCCCCAGACACGGAACACAGACGCATCGCCAACCTTCCCCGTCCACAGCAAGGCTGGGGACATCGCAGGCCGAGAGACCCGGGGGTGAAGGTTGAGCTGATGCGCCGCGTACCTCACCGCAAACGGCCACAGAAAATGGGGGGCAGCCGCATGCATCATGGACGTACGAGCGACATCCATGACCATGCCAATGCGGCGCTCAGCAATCCCATTTTGCTGTGGTGAGTCCGGAAGCGTGAAGGTCTGGCGGATCCCCCGTGCACGACAGTAGTCTCGCAGAAGGCGAGAAGAGAACTCTCCGCCTCTGTCCGAGTGCAGACGCAGAACAAGAAAGTCCGAGCCGAAGCTCTTCCTGAGCTGGAGACGAGCCTCGCGGATCCAGTCGATCAGCACCTCAGTGACCGCACCCTTGCTGCGCAAGGGGAGGACTGTGGTGTAACGCGAGTAGTCGTCAACCACCAACAGGAAGTAGCGCTCGTGACCCTGCCCACGGACGGGGGCTGGGCCCCACACATCCATGTGAAGCGTCTGCAGGGGAGCCTCTGTCGGGGGGAAGTGGGAGGAGTGAGGAGTAGCCCGGAGGCGACCCTCGACACAGGGGAAACAGGAAGGTCCTGGCCCGGAGGGGAGAGGAGGGAGAGACTGGGGAAGACCAGAGACAAGGACATGGGAAGCCATGCTCCGAAGACGGGGCAAGGAGGGGTGGCCAAGACGGTGGTGCCACAGGAGAGTCTCGTGAGACAGGAGGCGACAAGAAAAGGGGGCAGACTCAGGACCTGACCGGGACGCAGCAGCAAGCACCTGACCTGACGCAGCCACCTGACCAGACTCAGAGACAGGAGGAGACTCAACGGTCAGGGTGTAGAGACTCGACCCCGGCCGACGCGAGAACGTGGCTAGGTGTCGGCCTGTGCGTGCCTCCGTGCAGTGGGTCACCCGCTGACGCGCAGGAGTGAACTGGTGAACACCCCCATCCTGCAGGTCCGCGCCACTCACCAAGTTCGTAGAGAACGAGGGAAGGTACAGACCAGACAGGGTGCCCGAAGGGGCAGCCGGACACGGGAGGACAGTGGAGAAGTGAGACAGGACAGGACCCCCAGAGGGGTCAGCAAGGGAGACTGCAACCGGCCGGCCGAGCGGCGTAAGGGTAGTGCGGTCTCGAAAGAAGGAGCGAGAAGCCCCGGAGTCAAGTGTGAAAGTGAGGGAGGACGAGGACGACGCAGTACCTGAGAGCGCAGTCTCACCAGTACCTGAGAGCGCAGACGCACTGGCACCTAGAGCAGCAGCCTCACAAGCACCTAGCGCAGCAGTACCAATGCCCGGGTCGGGCTGGAAACACCGGTAACCCTCATTCTCCTCACTATAAGTCACAGCATACATAGCAGCAAGGATAGCATCAAAATCAAGATCAAAGATCGCTACACCAGCCCTAAGAAGCTCATCCCAGCGAGGGATCTCACTAGCCCCAGGGAACTGCTGACGCCAAGCGTCCGTCAGGCGGCCAAAGCAGCGCTGGGCGGCGTGGGCACCCCCACACTGCTCACCCGCGCGGTCGCCGGAACGAAGAACGTAGGTGGAGGGACCAGTACCCCCACCCCTCTGACGCCCAGCGTACCACTCACGAAGCTGCTTAGGCGGAGGGATGTCCCGCGAGCGCTGCTGCTGCTGCCGCTGCGAGCGCTGGCCACCACCACCGCCGCTACGCTGCTGGGTACCACCCCGACCAGCTCCACCTCCTCCACCACCACCGCCTCCTCCGCTGCCGCCTCCACCGCCTCCACCTCCGCCGCCTCCACCTCCGCCGCTGCCTCCACCACCACCGCTGGCACCACCACCACCGTCTCCGCCGCTGCTGCCACCACCACCACCACCCCCGCCACTAGTCCCGCCGCCACCCCCACTCCCTCCGCCGCCACCGCCCCGCCCCTCCAGCTCCACCCGCGCCCTTGCCCCCCTTCCCCTTGCTGGAGCGACGTCTCCCACTAGGGGCAGACGCCGCGCCGACCAACTCAAGACCAAGTAGGTCGGCGGCAGCAGCAGAGGCAACAGAGGGCAGCAAGGGGGAAGGAGAGCACCCCTCAAAGATGGGGTGCGAGGGTCACCACGAGAAGCACCTACAGCGACTATGCTCTTCTCCGCTGCGAGGAGGGCCTTCTTGAGGAGGTCAACGGTGAGGGTGGTGGGACAGACTGCGAGAAAGTGGTCCCTGACAACTCGAAGGGAGTCAGGGAGGCGCGCGACTACGTAGTAGAGAGCAATGTACATGGGGGGTGGGTTCTTAGCGCAGAACTCAGCAGGAAGGGCGGCGCGGTAGCGAGTGTCACTAGTGCGGAGGTGCGTAATGAGGTCAACGACAGTGGGAAAGGCAGAGAGGTCAGGAAAGAGGTAGGGAAGCATGAGACGGCTCAGTGCAGCAGTGGCAGGGGAGGAGTAGCGCGCAACAACAGCGTCGTACAAGGTCTGAGCACTCTTGTACTGACTAAAGTGCGCACGCTCAGAGGTAGGGAGGTGGCGACGCACAGCAAGACGTGCAGCAGCATCGCGGGTGGCCCACTGAGAGCGGACAGTGGGATCAGCATCAGCAGCAGGAGCAGGAGAGGCGCCAGAGGTGAGGTCAAAGAGAGAAAGGTTGTCAGCTCTGTCGCACTGTAAGAACAGCTGCAGGTCGTCTAACCAGACCTCAAAATCAATGGCGCGACCCTCAGCGTCAAAAGCTAGGACACTAGGGGTAGCCATGGCGACGACAGCGAAGCAGTGCAAGCAGTAGGGGAAGAGCACGCAGCGGCAGTGGGACTGTGCTCACCAGGCAGGGCAGGTCGTGCAGCTAAGCAGAAAGGAGGCTCGGCGACCGGGCGGCTCGGGTGCACAGCGGCTCGGCTCCCGGGCGGCTCGGCGGCAGGGCGGCTCGGGTGCAGGGCGGCTCGGCCCCCGGGCGGCTCGGCGGCAGGGCGGCTCGGGGGCAGGTCGGCTCGGCTCCCGGGCGGCTCGGCTGCACGGCTGCCTGACTGCTGCAGGTGGGGCGGCAGGGCCGCGTGAAAGAACCGGGGCGGGGCCGCGTCAGAACCGGCGGCAAGGCCTCGCGAGGGCCGGCGGCGGGGCCGCTTCAGAGCTGGCGGCAGGGCCGCAAGAGAGCCGAGGCAGGGGCCGCGTCGGGGCCGGCGGCAGGGGCCGTAAGAGAGCCGGCGGCGGGGTCGCAAGAGAGCCGGGGCGGGGCCGCGTCAGGGCCAGCGGCGAGGCCGCGATAGAGCCGGGGCGGGGCCGCGATCAGGAGGCGGGGGGAGGCCGCGTGAGAGCCGGCGGCGGGGCCTCGTCGAGGCGGGCGGCAGGGCCGCGTTGTAGCCGGCGGCGAGGCCGGTTAAGAGCCGGCGGCGGGGCCGCGTCAGAGCCGATGGCGGGGACGCGTCAGGGCCGGTGGCGGGCCGCGATCAGCGGGCGGCGGGGCCGCGTCAGAGCCGGCGGCGGGGCCGCGTCAGAGCCGGCGGCGGGGCCGCAATTAGCGGGCGGCGGGGCCGCGTCAGAGGAGGCGGCAGGGCCGCTGCAGAGGAGGCGGCGGGGCCGCGTCAAGCAGGGGTGGCGGGGCCGCGTCAGAGGGACAGCGGGGCCGCGAGAGCAATGGCGACCCGAAGGGTCGCGAAAAAAAATGCGCGCCTTGGGGCGCGCTTCGGTGGGCCCTAAAAAAAAAAACGGTCCTTAGGAAGGACTCGCTCTATACCATGTGAGAATAAGCGAACAGGAATGAAATGACTAAGTCAGATTTGGGTACAAATACAACCCTAGAAAGCTGTACCTCATATGTGCTACCCCACTATAGCCTACAAACATGCATCAGCTATGATAATCTGACACCCGTTTCATCGTGATGGCGTTGACCTGGACCGTCGAAGATTTGGGTGTCTGCCAGCGAGGTAGAACGACCCAATTACTACTTTGCACTGTGCAGCTCCCCGTCGTCCAGTCGATCCGTGGGTTGTACCGTCGCAGCCAATCACGTCCCAATAAAATGTCGTGCCCATCCAGTGTCGTCGCGAGCATTTCCTGTGTAAACCCGAAATTCCCCCCGCAGCGGACTTTTACGCGCTCCACCTTTTACCGTATGGCCAGGGGCGTGCCGTCGACTAAGCGTGCATCTATCTCAGGTAAACATCGGTTAAGCGTTAACTGTAATTTTCGTGCGGTTGCGGTATTAACTAAGCTGTGGCTTGCTCCTCCGTCAATGAAGATCTTCACTGCTGCTCCCTGTATTTTCCCGTAGATCAGTACCGGGCAATCCGTCGCTGTACCCTCCTTATTCATCCGAGCCCGATCGATGGCGTCAATCGGTATTGTGACTCGTGAGGGTCGGTGTGGTTGGGCGAGCAGGCAGTCTCGTCAGTAGTTGGCCCAACTTCTACTGACTGCTGGCGTTTCCCTGCCTCCGAGACTCCCTCCCCTGCTCTGCTCCTCGACGCCTCAGCTCCTCTGGACATTCGCTCTTGCGATGGCCCGGCCGGTTGCAAGCAAAGCAACGCCCTCTAAACGGCGCGGGAGCTGCATTCGCTGCGACGGCATGTACCGTGGCGTGCTCGGTCGGTCCCCGAGGACGATGTCCGTAATAGGACCCCGGTCTCGGTCGGCGTAGGATATCGATTTTCTCGGCGAGCGCGAGGATCTCGTTGAAATTCGAGAGCCCGCGTAGCATTATCTCGTGCGAGATGTCCGGCTTCAGCCCTCCGACGTAACGGTCCACCCGCTCTGCCTCGTGCATGTAGCCGACCTGTTCGCAAAGTGCGAGAAACCCGCTGGTGTAGTCTTGAACTGACCCGAGTTGGCGCCAAGTGCGCAGTTTCTGACGCGCCGAAATCGAGGCCGCGATCGGCTCAAATCGCGCTCGAAGTCCTGCGCACCACGCATCCCACGTGCTGTATTGGGCGGTTTCGCTGAACGAACTCCAGGTAACAGCTGGACCCGAGGGCCCTTCCTCGTGCGACGGTGGCTCGTAGGCGCACGGCGACGTCACAATGACTCGCCACCAGTCCATGGCGGGGCCCCTGAGTAGTGAAACCGCATACCGGATCTTGGCGGCGTCCGACTCGACGTAGTTGGCGTCGAAAAACACATTCATCGTGAAGACCCACGATTGAACTGTCGGGCCGCCGCGTTGGCTTGGGTCGAAGCAGGGCGGGCGTTGCGGCTTGAGTGGCATTGGGGCCATCATGGCGTTCTCGCCACTTGTCGCCGCAAACTCCACGTGCCGACGGGCTTCTCGGGGCTCCCGTGGGCTTAATACGCTCCTATTCCCTCCCATGCCGGGCATCGGTTGGGCTGCGCCGTCACTGGCTGGCTGCGCCTGAGCGCTGTCCCGTGCTGTTGTGTTGCGTTGGTGTGCCGGATGAGATGACGATGGGCTCCTCCAGATGTGCAGATGCATTGGTTTGTGCGTGTGATGTCGTCGGTACGTTCACCGTTGACTGTTGACGGGCGGAGTCACGTTCCGCCGTGAGAGTCGCGATTTCGAGCGCCGAATCCTCCAATTGACGCACGAGACGATCGAGTTGCTCCTGCGTCAACGTGGCGAGATTGAAATCGGCCATGGCGGGGTGTCGGGCAAGCTCAGCGAGAGCCTCGGTCGTGGCCGTGCGTGCTTTCGAGAGAGCACTACGAGCGGCGGTGCTGTGTCGCTGAGAGACGTCTACCCCCCCCAAAAATTGAGATAGTGGGAAGCGAAGGTGTGGATGCGGTCCGAGATGAGATCGTAGGCTCTGAATACCAAGTGTTACGAGTGCAATTGAGTGAACGAACAAGAATTGCACTATCGAAGCAAGAATACAATTGAGCGAAGGCATGAGCGAACATTATATAGCGAAACTATAGTGGTAACGGTAATGGTCGCGCGACGAGCCTGGGACTGAGGTTTGGAAAGTGTCGAAGCGTAGGCCCGGAGCGCGGGTTACCAGCCGAGCCGTGAGGTCGGGATGCGATGTGCGAAAAGGGCGGGATGATGAATGACGCGATGGTCGCGAGTGGTAACGGTGCTGACTGAGGAGCTACAGTGATGTACGCGTTGAGCAGGGACGCGAAGTAAGGAAAAGGGAATTTCCTTAGAATGTGTAACTTGGGAAATTCGAGAACTTGATCACTATGCAGGCCGTGGCTAGTAAGAGCACAGGACTGAATAGAATGCAAAGAAATATGATATATACGCAACACTGCCCTGTGTGATTTATTCAAGAAGTCTACTTGTCAAAACATGCCAGGACTAAGTATAAGTACTTCATGTACAACTGCCTACAGCTACTGTATACTTTAATAGCAAGATACATATCCAACTATACAGAAACGATATGAAAGAGTAAATGAACACTACAATATGACGTGCACTTCAGCTACCTTGTTAAACCTGACAAGCCGGCCAAGCGATCTGGTGCGTCCAATCGAGCCCTCTTGACGGACGGTGAGGATCGACTTGGGCAAGCGGCTGGGAGATACACCCCTTACAGGTGAAACCCCAGCAGAGGCAGCGCAAGGGGAGGTGGTGGTAGCAGGGGAGGCGGTACCAGTGGAGGTGGTACCTGTTAATGTGGTAACTGGCATTTTGGCAACAGGGGAGGTGGTACCAGGTGGGGGAAACAGGAGGGGCGGGGAGATAGAATGCTCTACTTTAGAAGCTGTTGTGTTGGTAGCGAGGCTGCTTGTACGGAGGATGGAAGCAGAAGATGCCCGGGTGGTGAAGAGAAGGTGTACTGCCAGGGAGGGGAGGCGCGGCGGGAGCGGATAGTCTCGTGGGGAGGAGAGTGGGAATGAGACTGGTGGGGAGGAGAGTGGGAATGGGACTGGTGGGGGGGAGAGTGGGAATGGGACTGGTGGGGGGGAGAGTGGGAATGGGACTGGTGGGGAGGAGAGTGGGAATGGGACTGGTGGGGAGGAGAGTGGGAATGGGACTGGCGGGAGGGAGAGTGGGAATGGGACTGGTGGGGGGTGAAAGTCGCGATGTGGCCTTCGAGCGGGAGAGGAGAGGAGAGGAGTGGATAGGTTGCCGGGGAGGGGAGTGGGGCGACGACGAAGCTGTCGAGCTACTGTTGAGCGGAGAAGACACATGTTCGTTCCGACGCTGCTGCTGCTGCTGCTGCTGCTCCTGCTGCTGGTGCTGATGGTGTAAGTGATGCCGATGCTGCTGTTGCTGCTGTGAGTGATGCTCATTACGCTGGGGTGAGGGATGCTTGTAGCAGTGCTGCTGAGAGTGCTGGGCAGCATCAGGTGCAGCTGCTACAGCCGCTGCTGGTGCTATAGCCGTCCTTGCTACAATTGCACCCTCATAGGGAGAGAGTGGGGTGTAGGCAGAGGGCCAAACAGACAAGCTGTTTGGTCTCGTCCTCCTCTGAAATGACTTGTGGGGTAAAATACCCTGCTGATGCTCCTGTTGCACCTTCCCCACATCCACCTCCCCTTGGATGGGCCGGCTGTCATTCCGACCCTGTGGAGCTGCAATTCCGGTGCGTGCCGAGCCTGCAGCGATGTCGCCCAGGTCTACTGAGGTGGTTCGGAGGCCGAGCCTGGATTTTTGCCTCAGAGCGCCGTGTTGCATGTAACGGTTGTAATGGGTGCTGGTTACCACCGCATCGAGATTGTCAGAGGGCAACTTGTGGAGGGAGGTTCGGCGGGGACTCGGGCAGCGGGAGAGCAACGGTGGAGGTTTGGTAGAAGATGGAGATTGAGATGGTGATGAGGAATTGAAAGTTTTAGATATTTCAGTATGCGGT